TTATTGCAACACACAACACGGAAATTATACAATAAATAATAATTAAACAACATGATTTGTAGCAATATACATTACTCAATATACATAACTGACAAGAAAAACTGTTAAAAAAACACATTTAAATGAAATACCATCAAATGTGAAATGTCACACAGGGAGTTCTGGGAATGTCATTTTATAGTTTTTCACTGCAGATTATAAGACGACTTTTTTTTTCACTTCCGCAAATTTTACATGTAACAGAGTTTTACTGTAAAATTGCATAAATGTAAGGTTAGATCTATTGCAGTTTATCACTGTATACAGTAATTAAATTTACTGTTAACCAATAAACAGGTTTATATTGTAGCATTTTTACAGTTAAAATTACAATAATTTTTTTGTATATATATATATATATATTTGTTTATGATCTTATTGATTTAACATCACAGACATTTTCTTTTCTTTTCTTTTCTTTTTTTCACATGCACAGACCAAATGGATCAGCAAAACTTGATTTATGAGTACATGGCTTTTGCAGGTACTTGAAAACACCATTTGCGGTATTAAGCAACCATAAATAGCTCGGACTCTGCCAATGGGTTTGTACAGTACTAGCCTTGTAACTGTCTAGTGTGGACACCAGTCCCAAAACATTTGAAAATGATTTCTAAGCTAGACGAAAGCGTGTCAAGACCCTTAGATGACTTCATCACAGCTGCAGAGTGAAGATGTGTGAGTGCGTGTACAGTAGTTTTGTACGGCGCTCTCTTCTGCCTCAGGGATTAGATGAGTGTGCTGTTCTAGCTGGAGCAGAACTTCACCCGATGTGCCTGTCTGCCTCTAGTCAACAACACAGCTGTCTGCCTCCACTCTCACCATGCTATCTGACAAAAAAGGTAACGGAAAAGGCGTATTCAAAGAAATATTGTATAACCAAATGTATTTGTTATGTATATTGCTAAGGATTATTAATTGTTTTTAAAGTATCTAAGCATCTTTTGTGTGAACTATGTGTGCTAAAAATTTAATTGCTCATAGATGACATTTTTTAAAGTTAATCTCAATCTAAATTATTACAAATTAATAAAGTAATAAATAATAGTAATAATAATAAATGTGTGATAATTATTCAGGGTTTTTTTACAGGCCTTTGACTGATAATATTTGTTGCTTTAAAAACCCACTTGATCAATTAAAATGTTGAAACTATATTATATTAATTTGGATATTTATGACTAAAATCAAGCAAAATTAGTTTTTAACTAAAGAAAAATAAATACAGAATGCAATTTTCAGGATTTTATTTTTTTATTCGTCTATTGGATCGAACATACATTATAATGAAATTCTTTCTCATTCTCTAAAATATAGCTTTCTTTTATATAATCTAATATGCACAAATATACAAGATATCCAGTCGGCAGTGTGTTCAGTCTACTCCTACCCACAATGCAACAATATATCAGTTATGGCATTGCTCGTGCATGGCAAGTCGAGACAACCTTTATCGGCTGAACGCATCCTTGTGGGAGAGAGAAGACCTTCACCACAATGTTAACCTTTGGCACCAGGTGCACACAAAGGGCACCAATTTAGCTAAATGTTACCAGTATCTACTTATCTCATATTTTACAAAAGAGGACTGCACTGACATTAGCTGCTTAGATAATGTTTGATGGATAAATATCATTCCGTTCTACTTGCAGGCATGTGTTGCACCAAATGAAGGCTGTCTGTAAAGTTGTGAAACAGTTTTTATACAAATGTGTGTATGTTCTAAATAATCTCTAGTAAATTAGTATGTATTATAAATAACTTTTATAATACATTTTTTAATAAATGACAGTATGCAGTATAAGGAATTGATATGCAAATGTTGTTAAATCTCTGATAGAAGGCTGCTTTATGTCAGTGATAAACAAAAATAAATCATATATTATGTATTTGATCCCTTTTTACACCACAATGTGGTGAAGAGTACAAAACCTGTACATTCCTTAATCTATAATCTGAGTGTTTTATTGTTTATGAGTTGGGCATTCAGTACAATGTAAACGTGTGTTTTCAGTTGTGCAATTTCTGTTTAATTGACACGTGCTGATTACTGTAATTGCATCATGCGTTTGTCTCTGTTTAGGTTTTATAAAGCTGTTAACAGAAACCTGTCCATGTGCATTCAATAATAAATCTTTGCACATTTTCACAAATATCTTCAGGAATTTGATTGATTTGTTTAAACAGATTGAGAAAAGCTTCGTCTTGTGGCAAGATTTTGCTTATTCTGCGAGGCTTTCAATATGAGTGTCTTTTCTTTGTGTATGTGATTAACCCCATGGAGTTTGATTTATACTGTATATATGCAATGTGTTTATTTAATTTATTCTAATATGCTGCTCAATATGAGCTATTTTCAAGCATCTTAAATAGATAAGGCTTTATCACTGAGGGAAGACATGAAAACAGCACGCTGTTTAGTGCGGAGTTGAGCTTCCCAGTGACTGCTAATAGGCTTTCACTAGAGCGCTTTAGCACTTTGAAGCCAAGGAGACTTAATGATCCCAGAGAGTGTATTTCCATGCAGGGTAAAGCTGTTTCTCACACATTTTTGAACTCATCATTACTTTAGATGTATAGCCTCTTTCCCCGTTACACTTCTCCTGCATGTAATACAGCTTAAATATGTCCCTGGTATGCAAATAACACAGGCTCTTATACTCCTACATGGAAAAATGGAATGCCGCAACAGCCTTTTCTCCATTTCTCCTACTTCAGGCTATAAGCAAAACTGTGGAATAATAATTTCAATATTCTGAGAGCACTTCTGCCCGTTACACTTCTCCTGCATGTAATACAGCTTAAATATGTCCCTGGTATGCAAATAACACAGGCTCTTATACTCCTACATGGAAAAATGGAATGCCGCAACAGCCTTTTCTCCATTTCTCCTACTTCAGGCTATAAGCAAAACTGTGGAATAATAATTTCAATATTCTGAGAGCAAAAAGGTTTCACTGCCTACCTCAAAGACAGATGTATGTTTGGTCACCCTGTAATACATTTTTGGGGGAAAAAGAGACTCACACACCACACCACACACACACACATATGTGTGTTTATTTTTATCTTCTCCATTAATTAACTGATATTTTGGAGTATGAGTGTTGTGTGGACCAGAGGTGTAAAGAGTACCTAAAAACCATACTTGAGTAAAAGTACAGATACCTTACAGTGAAAATTACTCCACTACACGTTACAAGTCACCAATTCCAAAACAACTTGAGTAAAAGTCTTAGAGTATCTGATTTTAACAGTACTTAAGTATTTTACTTATACTAAATATAGGCTCAAAGATGCACTAGTCAAAGAGACACGCCAGTCAAATACTGTAACATTGTGGAGAAGCTGAAGAAAACAGGATCTATGTGCAGGTATCTAATGGAAAAACTAGAACAAACAATAAGCCAAAAACCAAAGGGAACAAAGAACAGAATGACTGGCAAACAGACAACCATTACATTCAGGAACTAAAGAAAAACTAGGGCTATATATACAATAAACATAAAACTATGGCATAAAACTCTCTACGATTACAAAATTTAGTTTTGATTAAATGAAAGGATAGGATCATAACCCTTAAAAGCCATCCTTATTAAAGTATTTTTATAGTACTGTGGTATAATAGTGATCTATAAATAAAATTATATATTATAGGCTACTGTATGTGTGTATGTCTGAAACAAAACAAGCATCAAAAACAAACACATTAAGCTGAAATCTCACAAGAAGGAAGAGATGCACTGTGAAATTCCAGCAGAATTTTTGACTTGTGAAATCTGACATGTCAGTTTCCGTAGGGGAGATGCCTGATATTCAGTTGCCCAGCACATGCCATCAGGCAGGTCCATGAAAGGACCATACAGCTATCTTCAGGGAAATTCTTCTGCTCTGGTTCCTCAGCTGTTTCCTGGTGTTTGCAGTGAGGCTTAACTTGAAATGGCACATAGAAGGGCCCCTCCTCAGTTTAAGCTGTCTTAAATGCATTTTATATGACCTAATATTTCACCACACCAGGCCCATTTTCATCCTGAGATACACTCCAGATAAGAGTTATAATCTATGTGTGACGAATGTGCCAGACTCATGCCTCTGACTCTGGTATGTACGCAATCCTCTGAGGTTATTGCAGGCCGATGGGGATAAGGAGAGAGAAAGAGAATAAAATGAAAATGCAGATGTGTTTGGTTAAGATGTACCTGTCAACTGGGACGACACACACATCTGTACTCATTTAAATGAATCTCTTATCAATACCTCAATGTCCCCACTCAAGAAACATTGCCAGACAGTATGTTAACATGTTTGGTTGGTTTAGTTTTGTCAAGAGCCTCCAATAGACATTTATTGACTTTATTGAGTGGACATTATAAGAATCCCAGCTAGCCTGAATGGGACTCCATTCAGTATTTCAGAGAGGTCATTTTGATCTTCCCTCTACATTTGATTTGTTTTCCACAATTTATGCAGCTCTTGTTAAATTGGATTCTATGTTTCCATTCGGTTACTATTCTGATGTATAATTAACCTTCTGATCCATTAATTATATATAATGATATATATTTTCCATTCTGTTACTATATAGCCATTTTTCGTTCTTTTTCCCATTGCTAATACTGATGACTGACCTGCTTATACAAATAAAAAACTAATACTAATAGGTACTATAATTTTACATGATTTTATCTAAAAGTCATTTATATAAAACATTATCCAAGTTATCTAAAAATGGATACTTGATACATTAATTGGTATGATGTTACAATGATACATAGGCTACTAATTGTTATGGTGTTTCATTTGACCCATTCTTAATTATTCTAAATAGCATTACAACCAAGCTGTTTATTCCTTTCCTGTTTCTTTTCCTCGACAAAACGAACAACAAAAGGGAAACGAAGTACTCAGGCTCTCATAAGCCTCGCAGTCATTGGAATCCCAGGAACAGCGCCAGGCGCGCGCTGATCAAATCCTGAGTTTCCACGGCAACAGAGGAGGAGTTTGCACGTCGACCTGTGACCACATCGGCGGAAATGAGGAACTAGGAAGTCGAGTGCACGGCTGATGTGGAATACCACACATTTGTTTAAGATGCATTAGTGTCGTCTACTGCAATTTATTCATTTTCATCCACCACAGATGCAGAGAATTGATACCGATTGGCATAAGCGGTCATCCCACATGCCGTGGCGTCGCTAGCTGTGTTCGAGAAAGATGCTTCAGAGGTAAATAGCAGAGCCTTGTGCTGCTTGACTGTTTGACAGCAGCAGTAACTGGGGGTAGTAAAACTAGCAGTGGTGTTTCTAATTGAATTAAATAAGGAGAGACCGCGGAGGTTTTTTTTAAGTAAGTTACTGGGTGAGTTTAACACATGATCACCCTCCTGAGGTGACAGTAAAAGTTGTAAATCGCAGTGTTTTGAAATATGAGGGATTAACAGAACAAAATAAATAAATCAATTAAATGAATAATAATAATAATAATAAATATATAATAAAAACGTTCTGTTCTCGATTATAAATGTACTGTTAAATGACAGAGCTGGTATTTATTTGAATCACCAGGTACTCTTATTTAATTTGATATACAGTATAAACCTCGGACCTTTTCATCTACATTAAAAAATAATAATAGTGCCACGGTGTATAAGCTACATAGTTCATTTTCTTTTCTTTTTTGAATGACAACGTTTCCTATATGTTTACCATTTTGAATTAAACATTTTTAAATGAAATCGGGGTGATGGAACGTAGTTAATAATTTGGACAGTTTGATTTCCATAAATTCATGGACTTTTTTTTCAGTCCATGAAAAACATTTTGAACATAAAAATTACAGCCCTTCCCAGTAGTGTAGGTTGTAGCAACAGCAATATATGTATTTGACATGAATTTTCATGAATTTGTTAAACTACTTTAAATTTCAATAGATATATGTGAATAACATAAGTTTGAGATGCATATAGCCAAAAAAAAAAAAACATCTATATCTGGTCTCCACAAGAAGAAAAAATCACTTTTTTTTTTACAATTTACCTTTTCGAATTTGATGATTTTTAAAGTCACTCATTTAATTTATTTCTGAGTCATTTGTAATATGAATTTAAGTTTTAATATTATTTTTCTAAGACTGTTTTTTTTCTTTGGTTTAGGTGACCTGAGTTGGAGTGGGGTGAATGTGTGGAGTGTTTGCGGAGTGTAACAACATCATTACCTGCTCTGTTAATAGACGCAGTTTCTGAAATGACAGATATGCTCTTCCCATGCTTTTAAACATAACTTTCCATTTGTATCTACTCTTGGTCGCTCATTTCCTGTGATTAGAAGCTAAACAAAATGCCAAGGCCAAATTGAAGTAATAAACGTATCATTTCACACACCAAAATCCATATTTTTACACTTGAAGTCATCATGTCATTGGGCGAACAGTCACAGAAGTGGTTTCCAACTCATGTCCAAGCCACTGTTCTTCAAGCCACAGACCTGCAACCAAAGGGCAAGAATGGCACCAACGATGCCTACACCATTATCCAGCTGGGCAAAGAGAAGTACTCCACATCGGTGGCCGAGAAGACCCTCAGCCCAGTGTGGAAAGAAGAGGCTTCATTTGAACTGCCAGGGCTGCTGATGGAGAGCAATCCAGAGGTTTATGAGCTGTGCCTCACAGTCATGCACAGGTCCCTGGTTGGATTGGATAAATTTCTGGGCCAAAAAATCATCAACTTAAATGAAATATTTGACAACAAGGAACGGCGAAAAACTGAGTAAGTGAGTTAAATACTTAATTATTTTTTGATGACTGATCTTTTAAGGATCTGTCAAAAGTCTTGTAGAATTATACAAATGTAGCATTCTTTCAAATAAGCAGAAGTGCAACTTAAAAGAGGAAACTGACATTAAATGTCTTCTCCTCTTCTGGTATTACAGTTAAGAATTTTTGTTTAAATTGTATTTATGCAATCCTTATGATTCTTTTGAAATCACAGGCCTTTCTTCTCTCTCTCTCTCTCTCTCTTTCTCATTTTTTAAACTAGAATTTTTGATTGTTTAAGAGCAGACCTCGCTCTATCTCGCTCTGACATATCAGCCTACAGACCCCAGTGTTTTATGCTTGTCAGCATTTTGAAGCCAAGTCAGTTAATAGTACTCAAATTATAACATAATTAAAGGTTTTGAAATGACCTGGGCTATTTTTTACTTCTGTAACAATTAGTGATGCATTCATTTGAAGTATTCATCTGGCGTAATCCTGTCTTTGTTTTTAAAACCTGTTGTCTGAGTTTTAAATGTCTATGGACATGCTATTGCTGTGCATTACTATAGAAGGGCAGCCATCTCATGCAGGCCAGTTTTGTTCTGGTATGAAACTCAGATAAAGGCCTTTTGACTCCATGCAGTTTGAGTCACAATCCTGTGGTAGATGAACAGGTCTAGTGAGGATGATTGTCCTGCATGCTATTATATTTTCCTCTCTGTTTGTCAGGCCCTGGTGACTAACAGATATGTTTCCTTCGAGGAAACTGTACCATTTTGTGTTCTTCTGTCTTCTGACTTCCTCTAATTTCATTGTCAGATGTGACATAGGCTACTTTCTGTAACTAAATGTCAAGAGTGCTTCATAAGACAGTCTTAAAATTTTCTGATTTCGATTTTTTTGGGCATGTACAGACTAGCAATAGGTTATTTGAGTATTACGAGAGAAATAAGTATGGCTGGCTGAAGTAGAAAAGGCAGTGCCAGTGTCTTGCATACCTGATGTTAATGAATGTGACAAATGACAGAACTCCGAATACTTTTTAGAATACTGCCGTTTGCTTTGTGAAAGTAAGTTTTGCACTGGAGTCTTCTCCTGTAATAATGCACAATATATCGGTACCATATCAGTTATAGGCAAATACCGTTTCGACATTGGAGTCGACGGGCCCTAATTATCGCACACCTGTGTTTGTTGATTGTACGGTGGTTCCCAGCGGCCCTCGCAGAGTGGGAGTATTGTGGTTCCAGGCAGAGGAAGATTTATCTTGGCCTTGACTCCCATGTGAAGAACAGGGGCTGGCTGGCTATCCACATGCCCAGATCAGAGCTCCCTCACTGGGCCTGAGACCAGGTAAACCCTCTTCCCTTGGATCTACAAGCTCCCCAGTGTGTGGATGGTCTTGGAAAGAAACATAATCACCATTCACTAGCTGTGCCATGATGGAAGAAGAGCACTCAGCAAGATGGCAGCCTGTGACGACCCCAGAGGGGAGCGTGTTCCGATACTGAAGGAGTGTTTACAGTAGTGTTTGCATAAAAGAACTGTGTCTAGTGTTGAACTGCATTTCTAGAAGGCTGCTTTGTGAGTTTTTAATCAGTGCTGAGGTCAAGAAAGGGCCCGATTGATGTTTTTACAAAAATAATGAATCACACTCTTTTCAGTTTATCAGGTTTTAATTAAGTAGTTTCAATGTATATCATCATAAGTGTTTTTTAGCACATTTGGATGGACTGTGCTGAATTGTCACCTTTAAAATGTATCATTCAAGATCTTCCTTTGTCATTTGGATAGGGGTACCATACAGATATTATAATGAACTGTATGGAAAAATAGATAATCATTTTGAGATTTGCTAAATATTACATTTACCAGTCTTCTATTCAAAGAAACAACACAAAATACAGAATGATTACAACTTTCCCTCTTTAACATATATAATCATTTAAAATAATAAGTAAAAAAACAAACAAATCAAGTATAATAATAATTATTATTATAACAATAGCAATATATTTACATAAGAAAATTGCTTAAATTATACAGTTAATCAGTACAGTATCTGTTATTGTTTATTATAGTTTTCAGTAATATTTAGGTATTTTATATTTATATTTCCCTTTTTATCTTAAGTTTAAAATGTTCGCGTTTTTGTCATAAAAAATTTTTTTTTTTTTTTAAATGTATCTATATGGTTTTTATTTACCTGCACAATAAATATGCAGTATTGGATAATATTGACTGACATCAATGAAAAAAAAGTGTGGCTGTAAAATGATGTATGGCATCCGCTCACTTAAAAACTTTGACCCTGTATTGAATAAAAGTCTCTGTCTAGCATTGTTCCTATACCTTAAGTGTTCATGACCATCATTTCTAAATTAATGATTCTGCTCCAAGTGTCTTGAATTGCAGGAGCATCAATATTCAGCCACTCTTGAGATTCATGTGCCTCTGCTGAAATATGGTCCATTTCATAATCTCCAAATACCGGTGTGAGCATCAAAGAACAAAGGCCAGATTTGTGCAAATGCCACCTCCTTTTCACACAGTTACAGCATCAATCACATTACTTCCAGCAGAAAAAAAGAGCAAGAGGTTAAATAAACAGGAGCCGGAGAATGGCCTAGATGGGGGCGTATTACTTCACATTCTTTATGTGGCCCAAACCTTTGCAGTTACCAGGGAATTATGTTTATCCCTACTATAATATGCGTTCTCAGGAAGGGGGAAGGCTTTCAAATGGACTAAATGGACTATGCTGTGGATTTGTGTGAAGTGAAATTGGGTTTTTGGCCAGACAAACACATTGCCCCCATGTCGTTTTTGTATGAATTATACATACAGTAAAGCCTGAAAGAGAGTCTACCCACCAGGGGGGTTTCACAGAAAAGAAGAAGTGAAAGTGTGTGCGGTTTTCTCCTGTTTGTTTTTATCAAGCTGTGAAAGTACACTGGAACATCTGCAAATTACTGGTGCATGTACCACTAGCCTAGCTTTTTAATAACACCTAAGGGGCCAACCACACTTGTGGCACAACAGCCAAAGATGTGTAGCTCTGTAGCGGTTGTGCTTGGAATTTAAGTACGTTTTGATTTTTACCAACTTTTCCAACAGGGTTTTTTTTTTTTACTCAAATTATCAAAAAATAAAAAAAATCTAGATAAACTAGTAAACTTGACTAATCGTGCTTTTAGATGACTAGTTGACCTGTGCAGCGGTTGTGTTAACTGGAAAATTTGAAACTGGAAATTATCTGTCATTTACAGAATTTAATGTGGTCATATGATGTTGCTAAAAAGAACATTATTTTGTGTATTTGGTGTAATGAAATGTGTTTATGCAGTTTAAGGTTTAAAAAAACACATTCTTTTCCACATACTGTACATTATTGTTTCTCCTCTCTGCTTTCTTTGCGTGAACATTTGGGCGGCGTTATGCTAATCTTCCCACATAGTGATGTAGACATGTGGGGGCGTGTTAGAGCGAGCCGTTTTAGGAAGGTGTGGCTGACTCTTAACTTTTATGAAGAATATCTCTTTGGATTTGAGACTAGTCTTTGCAACTTTACAGATCTTCTTTATGCACCAAGAGCTTGTAACGCTCCAAAGAGAAAGGAAAAATTGAAATCGCATCATATGACCCCTTTAAAAAAAAGTTGTTGGATAATTCACAATGCTTTCTGCCATTTTGATGTGGAAATAATAGTTATCTAAATAAATAAGTTAACATTTCTATAAATATTATTAGAAGTATTTATCTAAAAATAAATATATAAAACGTTTTACTGTTATACCTGCCTTTCTGAATTTCTGACAGTTTTATTTTTGCTATATGTCTTATACTTCCTGTCTCTTTCTTGTCAGTTGGTACTCGCTAGACTCCCGGCCAGGTAAGAAGAGGAAAGACCGAGGCAAGATTCAAGTTAGCATCCAGTTCATGCGGAACAACATGACCGCCAGCATGTTCGATTTGTCTATGCGAGACAAACCCAGATCGCCATTCTCCAAGCTCAAGGAAAAGATGAAGGGTCGCAAGCACGACGGTGCCTTTTCAGACACATCTTCCGCCATCCTTCCACACTCAGGACAGAGCGAGATTGATTCTCTGCCATACCAGCACCCGCACCCTCAGGCTGCACCTGAACCCAAGCCAAAACGCTCGCTGCTCACTGGGACGCAGAAACTTTCTGCTGCTCACTCCATGTCTGATCTGATAGGAACTCACTTCAGACCCAAACTCGACTCCATGAACTCTATTGAGGAGAAAGGTGAGGACATACATGGTCTGTTTATGTAGTTCACTGTAGAACAGTGCTCAGTATATACTATATTTTAGTCTTTTATGTTTTATTTTATTGTGTGGTTTTAGCAGCGATAAGTATTGTTCACTATGGTTTGCTGTAGTGATGGCCAACCTGGAAGTTAGCATCACCCTGGTTCTCTGAATTAAAGCCCTGTTTTTGCACCTGGTTTTTGGATTACTGCTGAAAATAAACTCTTTGACCAAATATTTTGTTCATCTTCACAAATTAACCAAAAAAGCCAGAAGTAAAAACATAGGCCATAAACAAACTACACCACAATCGCATGAATTCAGTGTCACTACCATTAAGCTTCCGACAACACTCTCCGTCTTTAAAAACACACAAAAAATAATAATTTTCTGTGTAACTTTGAGTTAGAATAATTTTCAAGAACGTGACTAAACACAAGGCTTTAAATGCTGACTAGTGAGCAGATGGGTTTAACTGTTTGAGAGATGACGTTTAATATCTGCAACAACCTCTGTAGTCCCATTTGTGACCCTGGACCACAAAGCCAGTCTTAAGTCGCTGGGGTATATTTGTAGCAATAGCCAAAAATACATTGTATGGGTCAAAATTATTGATTTTCTTTTATGCCAAAAATCATTAGGATATTAAGTAAAGATCATGTTCCATGAAGATACTTAGTAAATGTCCTACTTTAAATATATTAAAACTTAATTTTTGATTAGTGATATGCATTACTAAGAACTTCATTTGGACAACTTTAAAGGCGATTTTCTCAATATTTTTTTTCTTTTTTGCACCCTCAGATTCCAGATATTCAAATAGTTGTTTCTCGGCCAAATATTGTCCTATCCTAACAAACCATACACCAATGGAAAGCTTATTTATGCAGTTTTCAGCTGACATAAAAATGTACCCTAATGACTGGTTTTGTGGTCTAGGGTCACATTTAGTCACTCAGTGAGTTAGCAATTAAAAGCTTAGAGGTTATTATATATTTGTTATTATATGTTGTAGAACAAAATGTGAAAATATCTTGAGCTTGTGTTAAACACAGACATTATTTCAGGCAACCAAATCCCATTGACTTCAGGATGATGGAACCGGAAGTGGTAAAATGCTTACTCGTCTCCGGGTTTGGCCTACAAAAATACCTCATCCCTGCAGCACTCTATGGAAAAGCACTAAAGAAAATGTTCTCTCCTTCTCATCCACAGGGGTCGCTGCATCTCACAGACACTCTCAGAGCGATGGATATGGTTGCCCAACCAGCGACGTTCCATGTGACCCCTTTTCCGACATCGGAGACAACATGCCCCAGAAATTCGCCACTCTCCCACGCAACCGCAATCCCTTCGAGGGAGATCAGGGGATGCTGTGGGGGGCAGAGAAGAAAGAGAAGAAGGAGAAGGTTGGTCTTCTGGGCAGAGTGACTGGGAAGAAAGAAGGAAAGAAAACGGCCGCTGGAATGCGAATAGGAAGCTCTGGAGACCTGCGATCTCCAAACCCCTTTAGCAGTGAAACCTCAAGTGAAACCAACCCTTTCCTATCACACTACAGATCCAGGTAAGACTAGCTTTTAGCCGTTTTGTTGTTGCCTTTTATATGTTGCAGCTAGTTTAAGCTTTTGTTGCAGTTGAAATAATATATATGTAAATATATATTTTAAGTATTATATTTAATATTATAGTATGTACTTAATAGTATTATTCATCCTTTTAAAATAATTGCTGAGGAATGTGTCTTCTGTTACTTCTGCTTGTCATTTCCAACCTCTGCTCTTTTGTCAGTAGAGTTAGATGAGGACAGTTGAACACTTAATGTTTATCAGAGAAAGTCTGTCATTAGGAAGACCTTATCAGTGTCATTAGGCCCAATTCGGACTACGGGGTCCTGACGAAGCCACAGTAATGAGATCTGAATGAGAGATAGACCATTCAATTAACAATTCATCTGCCCATAGCCTACCAGGCCGTTCATCTCTCCAGTTACTCTCTCATCTTAGATCAAAGGTCTTCCAGGGGTCACAGGTTAGCTAAAAATACACGAACAAGCCTACTTAATGTTGTCTAGTATGTAAAGATCTGTGTGATCTTTGCACCGTAATACATTAACTGACTTTTGATAACCAACGTCCTTAATGGTCCTCATCCATTCACAATGTTTTATCATTAAAGGACTGAACCACTACTCATAACGGTACGCCCATGTAAGCATAAAGTCAGTATATTTTCTTGCAAGTTGCAGTGGTGTTTGATGGCTGTGGAATGGGTGGAAGAAATGTGTCAGCTGGTTGAATTTCCAAATTTCCTGTTATAATTAAAAAGAAAATTCAACATCAGACTATCTATATATAAATAAAAAATTGTTCCAGACCAGCACTGTCAGTGTACTTATTCATTTACTGTATATATTTTTGTTAAAATTGTTAAAATAATGTCGTATTTAAACAAATACTTTAGAAATTTTAATAATAATAATAATTTCATAAGTATATTTATGCCACTAGATTGTCTAATAGACATTATTACATTGCATATAATATACACTAGTGTTCAAAAGTTTGGGGTCTGTCAGATTTATTTCTTTACTTATTATTTGATTTTTATTTATTGTTTTCAGAAAGAAATTATAACAGTAAGGACACATTCAATTGATCAGAATTGACAGTAAAGACTTAAAATGCAAAGGATTTCTATTTTAAATAAATGCTGTTTTTACTCATCAAAGAGTCCTGAAAACAAATGTATCACAGTTTCCACAAAAATATTAAGCAGCACAACTGTTTTTAAAGTTGCTAATAATAAGAAATGTTTCTTGAGCAGCAAATCAGCATATTAGAATGATTTCTGAAGGATCATGTTGTGACACTGAAGACTGGAGGAAAGGCTGCTGAAAACTCAGCTTTACCATCACAGGAATAAATTACATTTTAAATTATATTGAAATAGGAAAAAAATTATTTTAAATTGTAGTAATATTTCGCAATATTACAGTTCCCTTTCAGTCAGTCACGTTCTACGTTACGTCAGTCGTGACTGGCTAGGCTCTGGAGATGAGGATTCGGCTGCGCTGCTACCGTCTGGTAGAGTGGCGTTGCCCGAGTCAGATCCAGAGCTGACCGCTATGCTTTCCCGGGCTGCCGAGAGTGTCGGGCTGCACTGGAGGCCTCCTCCTTCTCCCGAACGCTCGAGGCTGGATGATTGGTTCCTGGGGGCGCAGGCCGGGCATCGGCAGCCGCCTCCGGTTCCGTTTTTCCCGGAAGTGCATGAGGAGGTTACTAAGTCTTTGAAGGCAGGCCAAAGCGTTGAAGCAGTTGCACGAGGTTGGTGCGGACCCAGGTGTGCTGCAGGAACTGCGCATGGCGACGGACCTCGCGCTTAGGGCGATGAAAGTCACTTCGAGTGTTAACTAAACAAGCCAATGACAGTTGGCGTGCGTATTTCGCCACGCGCACCCCGCCCCGCAGCGCGGGTATAAAAGGAGAGCAGGCCACAGGAAAGCGGCGCAGCCCGTCTCCGCCCCTGCCAAGCCCGTGAAGCGCCAGGGCGGGCGGCGTCCCTGGGACGGGCGACCCGGGGGTCTTGAATCCGGCTCTTCAGGAGATGGTGACCGCACCACTCCTTCCCCCGGCGGAGGGCCGGGTAGAGAAACTTTTGTTCCTGTTTTTTTCTGTTCCGCCGCTGGCTACCCAGCCAGTGGTGCTCAAAACCTCAACAGAAGAGCGAGTTCCTTTTTCCCTGGGTTCCAAGAGGGCGAGGATGGCAGTGCGCGAGACCCAGTCTCCACATGGCCGTCCCCCTCTCCCTTCGCCATGGGGCAGCAGGGTTCAGTTCAAGGACGCTATGCCTCCTCACGAGCCCCCTGCCCAGCTGTGGAGCCAGGTAAGTGACGCGCCGCGCACTCAGACCCCACCCTGTGATGCACGGAAGCCTCCCGGGTTGGGTCCCTGTGTTCCACTGCGCTGCCCCACTGCCCGCTTTGCGTTCGAAGGGCGAGCGTATCAGTACAAGGTCCTTCCCTTCGGGCTATCCCTGTCGCCTCGTGTCTTCACCAAAGTCGTGGAGGCACCCCTCGTTCCATTGAGGGAAGCGGGCATTCGCGTTCTCAACTACCTCGACGACTGGCTCATATTGGTCGAGTCCCGAGCGCAGTTGTGCGAACACATGGATATGGTGCTCAGTCACCTCAGCCGATTGGGGCTTTGGGTCAACTGGGAAAAGAGCAAACTCTCCCCGGTGCAGAGAATCTCTTTTCTCGGCAAGGAGCTGGACTCGGTCAACCTCTCAGCACGTCTCTCAGTAGAATGTGCACAGTCTATGCTGAACTGCCTGGGGTCCTTCCAGTGCAAGACGGCGGTTCCACTGAAATAGTTTCAGAGGCTCCTGGGGCATTTGGCATCCGCAGCCGCTGTCACGCCGCTCGAGTTGCTTCATATGAGACCGCTTCAGCGTTGGCTTCACGACCGAATCCCGAGATGGGCATGACACGGCACTTACCGGGTTTCTGTCACCCCTTGCTGCCGTCGGACCTTCAGCCCATGGGCAGATCTTGCCTTTCCTCGGCAACATTTACCATGCCCCCTCGGAGTGAGAGCTCACTCTACGAGAGGAGTGGCATCTTCTTGGGCATTGGCACGGGGCGCCTCAATAGCAGACATCTGTAGAGCTGCCGGCTGGGCACATGCCAACTGTCATTGGCTTGTTTAGTTAACACTCAAAGGGGATTGGGCTCTCGGGCGAGATCCCAATTCGTCAGTCACGACTGACGACGTCAGTCTCCGTTCCCTCCTTCAGGGAACGAGGGTTACACAAGTAACCTAGACGTTTTTACTGGATTTTTGATCAAATAAATGCAGCCTTGGTGAGCATAATAGACTTTCCACCACTAATTTTTAACCGTTTAAATATATATACCGTTACTGTGGTATAAAATTGAACATACTGTGATATAAGATTTTGGTCACACCGCCCACTGACTGAGTGCTGTGACTGGCTGTAATGCCTTTGTTGTGGTCAGTGACCAATTGTTGAGAAATGATAAGTAGACTTGCTGTTTGTGTGTGAGGGGGTGTCAAACCATTTCCTGACCCTCAGTCAGATAACAAGTCAACTCAAATAAAGAACTTCTGCAGGCAGGTAGCAGGTGCATTAAGGGTTGTGATGTGTTTCATAATAGTGCTTCTTGTTGTCGACCAAGATTTCAACAATGTTAAATTGATTTGAATGTTAAATGAAGGGGTTTCCTGTAAGATGAAAGTGCATTTTATGTATTTATTGAAGTAACAGTTTTGTCTTTTTTTCCTGTCTAACAGTGACAACATGAGAAATCCCAGTAGCAATGAGGACCTTACACAGAGATTCAAAACCTCTCCCGGAAAGAAGCACGGCATGAAAAGTGCACATGTAAGTTCATTCAAAAGAAATAGTGTACACTGTATGTCTTTTCTGTTTTACACTATTGTTAAACATATAAAGCTGAATTACATGTGACCACGCTAAATGTAAGAATATTATTTTCCATTTCTATTCATTGCTTAACAAGGGTGTATTTTCACAGTCACTGTCCAGTCTGTCCAGACAAAGTTTGACCACATTTCTCATAAGTTTTCAAAACTTGCCCAAAGTTTTAATTGGTCATTTATTGCAGCCCTATTATACATGGAAGTCATTGATGCTGATCTCTGACTGAGTATCGCTCTGCTTGGAGGGCCGTTTATCTAATTAACAGCTGAAATGGGTGGTCATCGTCTTTGATCTGCATGTAATTTGAAGTAGTGTGATCTTATTAATGCGCTTCCATTTCGTTAGCGAGCCATCTTGGACGATATGTTCTCTCACTCAATAATTGGAAATCTAATCATTAATAATACGCAATTTGTCACTGGTCTAATTTTACACTATAGGTCAAACCACGGTCAGCGTTAAACGTGGAAAGGGGCCCTCTCTCACTTTGTCATAATTATACTGATTGTGATCGGCATTTATTCATTGCTTAACAAGGGTGTATTTTCACAGTCACTGTCCAGTCTGTCCAGACAAAGTTTGACCACATTTCTCATAAGTTTTCAAAACTTGCCCAAAGTTTTAATTGGTCATTTATTGCAGCCCTATTATACATGGAAGTCATTGATGCTGATCTCTGACTGAGTATCGCTCTGCTTGGAGGGCCGTTTATCTAATTAACAGCTGAAATGGGTGGTCATCGTCTTTGATCTGCATGTAATTTGAAGTAGTGTGATCTTATTAATGCGCTTCCATTTCGTTAGCGAGCCATCTTGGACGATATGTTCTCTCACTCAATAATTGGAAATCTAATCATTAATAATACGCAATTTGTCACTGGTCTAATTTTACACTATAGGTCAAACCAAGGTCAGCGTTAAACGTGGAAAGGGGCCCTCTCTCACTTTGTCATAATTATACTGATTGTGATCGGCATCGTGTCCAGTGAGGAGCAACACAACGTTTGCTTGCCTGCTGTGTGAGAATAGTCGCTGAAGTGATGTTGAAACTGGAGACGGGTTGCTGAAAATGGCTTTCCTCACCCATTTTTGAGGTTATGTTAACACTGCATCCGTGAAATAGTGTCTCTGGCACTCCAAGGCCTTAATTAAAGGATGGGGGGTGGGGAGAGAGCCGGCCGAGACATTTCAAAGGACTTGGAGTTTTAGATTTTCAACGCAAAAGCCCTCATTAGTGCCCATAATGAGACAACTGAAGAATGCCAAGTGGAAGTCTTATCTCTCCCACACTCCTGATTGCCTAAATCTGCTCATCAGCTGCTTGCCAGTTCATGGTCATTTCCTGGGCTCTTTTCCTGCCCCCGCTTGCTTGTGCCCTGGTGGTTTTGCTATTCATGCAGCATCTCTTTCTCTAATCTTCCTTTGATTCACTGTTCGCTGTTCTGTATTTGCCAGAGTGTTGTTTTGGCTTGCGGTGTCTGTTGACCAGCATTACCAAACACTCAACTCAACAAGCACACCTAAAAGTGTATGAATTTTATTGCATGCAAATGGCATCAGCAAACAAATTTTGAAAAAAATGTTTTGAAATTATGATGATTTTTAGTGGATACATGAAGTCAGTTCCCCTCAAGTTCACTACAGGTGTAGTTCATCACATTGACTAGGAAAATATTCCACTACCAGAAACCAAAGAGCATCCAAATGTGTTTTTGCCTTAATTTTGAACAGTATATCTTTTTTAAATAATAGATTCATTCAGCAAATGTTTTCCTTGGAAAGTGTACCTTTTTAACTGTACTTTTTCATTTAAAATAAATGCTACTTGATTTTATATTTTGTTATGCAATGAAATTCACATATTTTAAATGTGATTTACGTGTCTAAATACTTTTTTTAGGGCCATTGTATTTTTGCTTTAGTTTCTAGAATGGCAGTTTTATGGAGTAAAACTTGCTCTGCAGTTTCCTCAGGGAAAAAGAAAAGGAATGTTTTGTTTTCATTATCGTAATCTAAGGAGGATAATCATAATCAAAGTGTCACATGTATAAACAGCTGTCCGATATGGTGGATCAAGTTCAAACCCAGAAGCAGCTCAGACTCTGAAGCTTCAGGTTAAAAGTGTTGAGGCTTGTTCTTGCCAAGTATTATTATTAATTTACATATAAACACAGATACATTTCAGGAGTTATATATATATATATATATATATCAGTATATCTTCCATTCATTATTTAGTGAATCATACTTGTAGCCAAGCCCTAATCACTATTCAGTTGAAGTAATCACACCAATGTTGTTTAAAGGTTTTAGTCACTGTTAAACTTCATTTAATGCCTTAATGTATTTGTTATAGTGACTTGCTTTTAAAATGATTGTCTTAAATGTTATTTACTTAAACACAGATAACCTTATCAGTGTAGATTTGGTGTAAGTACTTCATTTCTGGAGCTATTTGGATTGTTTGGTAATTAGATGAATTTTAGGTCTGTGTCCTGTTGATGTTGATTTTGGGTGGCAGTTTTATTGTAATTAACTAAGTATCAGTAATTAGGCATGACTGAGAATCATCCACTCATATTTTGACACCAATGAAATGGGTAAGCTCTCCAAGAGATTATATCAACTGACCGCATTTAGTGCTTGTTTTCAACTTGACAGCAAAAAGTGTGAATTTGTCAGACACTTGATATCAGATGAGCAAATGTTTCTAAATTGCCTGTTTCCTCAATATCATTGTGAAGTCAGATGCAGACACTTCTCACGTCAACACATAATCGCTCTGCTTGAGAGAACTGAGGCTTGAGAGTTTAGAGCAACACCTTTTATAAAAGCGTGTTTATTAAGTGAGCTCTGAAGGCAGCATTAAATAACATGTTTATTTCGATTTTGTCTCCTAAAATATGTTGCCCTTGTAAAAAAAATTTTTTTTTGCGAGTTTGCTTTGGCATCCCAGAGATATTAGTCCAGGTACTACTGTATGTAGCATTATTGCTTATCCACATACACATTGTACAGTGTAATGTTTCATATTGGAAATTTTAAAGTATCAAATTATTTTTCAAAAGTACAATTACATTTTTTTTTTTTTTTTGAATTCCCAGTTTGGATTCCAATAATGTTATGGGCAATAATAAGAAGTAGAGATGTAACAACATTTGTCATGTATTCTTCCTCACGTATAGGAGGATCTGCAGAAGAATATGGCGGCCTACAGCAATCTCTCCTTTGAGGAAGTTGTGCAAGAACTCATCAAGCAGAAAGAGGTGGTGAGAAAGAAAGATGCTCATATTCGGCAGCTGGAAGACTACATTGATAACCTACTGGTCAGGGTAATGGAAGAGACACCCAGCATCCTGAGAACACCCTATGAGCCCAATAGAAAAGCTGGGAAGATCTCAAAGAAGTAAATGATCTCAAAAGCATACTGTAACTTTAAGTTTTCTGGCAAAATATATATTGCTTGTAAAAGGACGCTGGAATGTTGGTTCTGACAGAACAAAAGTATATTTGTTCACACGCGAACAGATTTCATGCCATAAAGTTTGCAAGAACAACCGGATATATTGGAAAGAAAGATGGGCAGTAATTTTTTTTTTTTTTTAATTCCCAGTTTGGATTCCCAGCATGTTATGGGCAATAATAAGAAGTAGAGATGTAACAACATTTGTCATGTATTCTTCCTCACATATAGGAGGATCTGCAGAAGAATATGGCGGCCTACAGCAATCTCTCCTTTGAGGAAGTTGTGCAAGAACTCATCAAGCAGAAAGAGGTGGTGAGAAAGAAAGATGCTCATATTCGGCAGCTGGAAGACTACATTGATAACCTACTGGTCAGGGTAATGGAAGAGACACCCAGCATCCTGAGAACACCCTATGAGCCCAATAGAAAAGCTGGGAAGATCTCGAAGAAGTAAAGGATCTCAAAAGCATACTGTAACTTTAAGTTTTCTGGCAAAATATATATTGCTTGTAAAAGGACGCTGGAATGTTGGTTCTGACAGAACAAAAGTATATTTGTTCACACGCGAACAGATTTCATGCCATAAAGTTTGCAAGAACAACCGGATATATTGGAAAGAAAGATGGGCAGTAAATGTGGTGATGCCAAACCCCCCTTTTAGATTTTTCCTTTACTTTAATTTTTTTTAAAGAATCTTTTGAGCTGTTGACTAATACTTGTGAGTGAAAATATTCTCAAGCAGCCATTCATAGTTTAGAGCGGTGTTCTTGCGCGAAGAGACCAATGTTATGTTTTACCGAAAATAACTGTGTTTAAGTTGACTTTTTCTTTGGATTCAGTCAGTATAACAGAATTGAGCACTTAATACTCTCACTGTGTTTTGCGATGCTCACTGGGGTGGATTGTCCATATGAGGCCTTTAATTTGCTGTGACTGAATTCAAAAGCTGTACCAGATCAATTGACGTACATGTTTGTCCACAAATATGTGGTGAAGCAAGAAAAAACTTGGATTGATGGCACCACGGGACATAGAAGTGAAAGTTGACTGGATGTTTTAGCACTGGAACATATTGGTTTACTGGAAGGCAATGTTGGGTTTGACAGGGTAACTCTCCTATTGGTCTTGAGGGTGTTTACACTGTAGATGAAGAGTGATCAGACTCATGAATGATATTGGCATGTGTTTGGTGCCATGTTGATATGTTAGTTACAAGACGTCGGTACTGGAACCTTTTGGTATTTTTTCAAATCATACATCTATAAAATGATACACTGGTACAGAATTACACTACTAATATTTATTTTGAGCTTGATTGCAATGAGCAAAATGTGTTTGTGAATAACAGTGTTTAATGAACAACCTGCCTCTGTTATATACAGGGACGACAGAAATGTAGAAAAGAGCATCCAAAAGTCTCCAAAGACTTCATTCTGAATGTCATTCAGTTGAACTGGAATGTACTGATGCTGAATATCTTCAGCATACCGCAGAACTGTCAAAATGTGTGGACTGCCTACAGTTGACTACACCAAAGTGTTGACGGTTTTGATTAAACTTAAGCTAGTCGGTTAGTCAGCCAAGCACAGAAGTAGTAAATGGTCCCTTTTTTAATTTCTAATTTCACCAGAGCAATTCTAGCCTATGCGTATTTAAAACCACAGCAAATAATGGATTAATTTGGCTCGTCTGGATGCCTTATAATGAAACATTTCAGTCAGTTTGATTCATTACAATGTATAGCATGCTTTGTGCAACAAAATGTAGACAAAAACTAGCTGAAGAACAATTGTTTACAGATTGCTTTATAGTTTCAAGGCAGTACTCTTTGACATTGTACTTTTTTTTTTTTTTTCCTCAACTTGTGTCATCTCTAGTGCATATTTGGTGAGAAAATGACATTGGCTATCATTCTTAGTAACTGAGCATATATTTTGCACTTTGGGCTGTTACACTGGAGCATCTGTATAGTGAAATACTGTACAGCAGTGGTGCATGTGGCAACCGCATACTTAAAAATGTACATTTGAGAAAACTAGAATGATTCTAATGATAATATAGTCTGTAAAATAACCCGTTTTAATATGTCAGCCCTTCATGTGAAGAACAAAACTGACACAGGGCAATTCTTTAGGCTATAATACCCCTTTTTTATATTTTTAAGACACAGTAGTATGTATGTTCCAGAAGTAGTTTTTTTTAACAACATGATAAAACACTGTGCTGGTTAGTTGTGCTGGAAAGGAAGTCTCATATATTATTTCTATAATATTGGGTCACATTGAGCATGTGATGTATTCTAGCTGTAAATTATTAATGTTTCGTTTATTTAAAGTTTTATTTACTTACATTTTATGTATTTGGAGAGGTTTACATGTGTGTAATTGACTCTTCAAGTTAAAATCATTCAATGCCATGTACAGTGTTACACAGTGCTGACATTAATAGGACCCTAGTTAAATGCTCTGGTTTAATGTCATTTTTCTAAAAATGAGACCATTAAGTTTTGTGCAAGCAGTCAGAAGCTAGTTTTTCCATATAGTTCTGTTTACATGCTAAATTTTGTGACCTTTGTAATATGGATACACATGTTAAAGCATTTATTTACAAATCATTTACAAATGGTGTACGCCAGGCTCACGTTATTTACGCCGGGAGCATGTCATTTATTAATGATTTTCTGCATTATGTTTGTCACTGGCCAAAAATGTTTCATTGAATTAAATTCAGAAAAATTATACGTTGAAGAGTAAAGTTAGCTTTAGAACATATAGTTAGCTATATTTTATTTCTCTCTCTCTATCTCTCTCTCTATTTGTTGTTTTATATCAGGACTTCTGTGTATTTTTTCTCTCTAAGAGCTTTCGATCAAATAAGTTTCAAAATTGCTTCAGTAACATTGATCATATTCAGCTGAGCACTTCTCCTGTCGGTTTTGTCTCATTGAACTGGAACTGCTATGCATCTCTATCAAGAGCAATTCTGTGTGATACGCTGAATGTATTTTGACCAGTCAGCAATGTCTGTAATCACAAACAGTGTTGATCACCCTGTGTAGATATTAATTAGCACTTCTTTGATCACTTTTCACAGTATATATAGCTAAAATGATGCTGATACATTGTTTGCTTTCACTAATATTAACAGAATAATGATCGTCATGGTTTTAAGTTGATTATCAAGAAGACATATCATTTTTAATGAGTAATTTTTTTTTACAATTGGTTTATTAATGGTCCTAATGTTTAGACTACCTATTTTTTCCCATCTTTTTATTTTTATTTATTTTTTTTTTTTTTGCTTCTTGCTTTGGTATTGATCTTTGATTTTCAACTTTTTATTGTTGTTTATTTAGAGGTTTATAGCTATTAATTCTAAATATGTTACAGTGGTCATATTTGTATGTTTGCTGCTATTATCCTGCTATTTCCCCTGCAGATGGTTTGGATAAATTCACATAGCATCGCGACAAAAAAATTGTGATTTAACTTTATAAAGGATAGTAGCAGGGCAAAAGTAAAATGAAAACACATGAAAGCCACAGTATCAACACAAAATTAAATTAAAAATAATATTTGAATATAATATATATATTTTTTTCCATTTGGTGTCTTCTATACATTAATCTCTGGTGCTGCAAAATCATATCATATCATATATATATACGTTTGTACCAGTTTTTCAGTGTTCTGTATCATATTGGTTTCCATTTATGTAAACTACTTTCTACTCAGACACTAAAATACTGCTTTTCCTCCAAAAACTTGAATTTCCAATAATGTGTAAATAACACTACTTAGAATATAGAATTTTGCCCTCAGAATTTGCTTACGGTATTTGAATGATGAGGACTTTTCTCAACGTGACACTTTCCTGAGTGGTTAAATATTTTGCGTAGATGTAGTGATGATTCATCAGGAAGTAATATGTCTGTCTTTGCATTCTTGGCATGCGGCATGAATGAGTGTAGAAGAGAGATCTGAGTGTATTTGTCTGTGTGACTACCATAT